ACATATTATGCAACATAAAAATAACAAATTAAAAGTTTTGAGAATCAGTAAGTAATTAATGTCTATTTATTTAAAAAAATATTTAAAATTTTTACGTTTAAAAATTTTGTTTAACAATTAATTATAATAAACCAGGAAAAGAGAGTCGTACACACGATTCTATACATAAGTGGTGCGTTGCTCATTAAGAAACATGATGCTCTATTTTAAAGACCGACTTCTCCGAGAGAGAATATTTTCAGAGAACTCAGTACTCCGGTAATTGAGAAACAGCCACCGGCCATCGTAAAACGTAACGTAGAAAAATACGCAGTGCCCGCAGCAGTTTCGTAGGAAGGCTTTTTCCGTTCGACTGGGAATAACTCACGATCGGTAGGCGATCAGTACGACAGGAGGGGGAGGGTTGAGGACGAGGAAAGGTCCAGAGGCTTGAAATCTAGTCCTTTCGAGAAAATATTTCGCACGAGACCGGCGATAAATCGAATGACTTATTACTACGAGCCGCGTAATCTCGGACTCATTCCAAAGAAATGTGCTACGCCATCGAAAATAGATATGTCGCGGACCAGATCCATTCAAAAACACGACCATGAATTTTACATCAACGCGTTAAGCTAAAGCTAACAGATTCTGAATCGAAATTAAATCGGAACGCTCGGCCGAGGAAGCCAACGAAGAAAAGAGAAGCTGCCCATCATTCTCCACTTACTGCACTGATTGATTTACGACTGACACAATGAAACGAAGACGAGTGAAGCAATAATCGATCAATAAAGATCGCAGCATATTGGTAACGAAAAATATGTAAAAGATATTTTATGATTATTTAATTTACAGATAATTTACAGAAGGATAACTGATAAAAACAGAGATAAAAAAGAAATATACTTCACGAGTTAATTGGATGTAACATATAATTATAATCCTTTTTCAATACGAGGTGGTTTATGAAAGTTAGTCAATCTAGAGCATTCGATTGATAATTTATATACATATATTATTGATAGAATATTTTATATTTTGATATATTTAATGCATACATTTTGAATATTGAAATTTGATGTAGAGAATAATGATAGAGATGTACCTGTAAAAATTTGTCAAAACACTTAATACTGAGGGATTGTTTGGACCAAACAAATTTTATCGCTTTGCTCGACGACCTTTAACACATGAACGATGACGGCGAAGGGATATTAATGCCGCGGCTCCATCTCAACGAACCAATAAATTCCGAGTTTAAATCCGGCGGTTTAACTTTAGTGTTGCTGAACGATCACGCGAGTTCAATCGTCGCACGATATTTCGCTTCCGAATGTTTATCGCGAAACTTCGGTATTCCCGCTAACTTATGATTCCGCATATTTTCTCGCTCGAGTGAAGCCACCTTTAACTTTCTAAATGTATTCGTTGTACTTCAATCGCAAGCCGAGTCAGAAAAGAAAAAGTTTCAGTGTTAAAATATATATCACTTCATTAAAAACAGATATAAATATTTTTTTTCTTTGTTTTTCTTCTTTGTTTCCATAGCATTATACAAAATAATTTATGCATAAAATATTTTAAAACTGCAAAGACTTCAAAATCAAATAAAGAGAGTCTGGGAAAAAATTACAATAGAATTCAGAGTTAATTAGAGAGTTCGAATTTTTTTAACATCTCGTATGTCCTACGTTTGGTCTTCTTTTACAATTTTAGTTTTACTATTTCAGTAATTGTCGAAATTGGATACTGAAATAGTAAAACTAAAATTGTATATTTCAGTATCCAATTTCAACAATTTTGACAAAAAACTTTTTTCGAAAATCATAACAAGTTTCTAACGGTCAAAACCTGTTTCCACAGAGATTAACGTCATAAAATTGTCCTAGAAGAAGGTAATGCCAGCCATGTCGAAACTTTGCTATAGCTGTTCGCGACATGTCGATGTTTTTCCGAGAGAGTTTCTCAAATCATGCGATTTAATCTAACCGAGTACTACACGACTGTAAAACTTCGTTGACCGAACGAAATGCAGTTTTGTCGCGGTTGGGTGCCGCCCGATGCGCTGCCTGGGATGGCAGGTCGCACCGTGGTTACGATTCTATTATACGTTGTACTGTTACTGAACGTGTCATCCGTAATTATGATTGACGAACCGATTTATTATACGCGTATGCGCGTCACTCTTAGCGTAATCAGTTACGCATAAATCATATAAACATCATACTATCCATATATATGTATGTAAATTGCATGTATACCGAGAGATACATATATATATATATATAGGATACAGTCATTATTTTAGAGGTAAAGCCCAGATAAAGCTAAATATCTGAGTTAGCATATGACAGCAATTAGCAAGTCACTAATGCTATTATTAAAGATATATCAAGTGTATAGTCTCTGCAAAAAGTGACAGGAATAAGAAATTTATATTTTTCGTGTAAAAATAAATATTATATACATACAGTTCAATAAAATCAATATTTATGTTTAACAGTACAATTTTATAGTTTAAAAATTTTCTCTCATTTTTTATGTAAATTTTTTTTAAACTCAAACTGTTTACTCCTTATTGAAATAATTTTTTATTTAGATTCTAAATCGCGTCAAATATATATTTTCTATGTTACTTTCAAATACAATATAGAAAAATCTGTAATTCTTCTATATTTCTTTCATTTTGTTAAAAAAATATGTGTAATATAGAGGAAGATCATCCATACCGACATACCACTTCGTTTTTAGACAATATTTCTTAAACAAAAGGTAAAAATACAACTTCAAAAATATAAATACAAACTAAAAAGTGTCTTCTATCACAGATAGTATAAGCAGTTTTTATAATACTGTTTGCAATTTTGCAATAATTAAGTTTTTCGTAAGTTATGCAAAAATGAGCGTCTGACAAAATGGGCTCCAAAACTGACATAGTAGGCAATAATGTGTGTGCCAACACATTCCTATTCTATAAAGAAAACTAATTTATGAAACTATAAACATTTAAAATGACATAATATTATCAATACAGTCACTATTATTTTAATTACGCAATTTGCAAAAGAACACCGTAAGAATTTTTTTTTCGGATTCATAGAATTTGTTTTTAGTTGATTTGGTATAGAAATAAGCCACAAATATATGAAAATTATGAGTTTGTACTTCTTTAATTAGTTAAACAGATCACGTTTTTATTAGTATTAATAAGGTGCAAAGGTTAGTTTCTAAGAAATAAGGGGATGTCGCTTTAGGAGATCTATGTTAGTATCGGTGACCTTCCTCTACATTCTTAACTTGAATTTTGAATGTCTACAATTACTATAGTTATATCTGAGATGACTAGTTTTATTGATGTGTCGATTTCTTATTGTATTTAACACGTTGATCGACTAGAAATGTCTGTAGCAAAAATGGCTTATAATATAAGTCGCGGGAGTGTCGTTCGTTAAATTATGTACTCGTCTAAAGTTATTTTCGGATTTCTATATCAGGACGGAATAGTCGAACGAAGTGACACGAGTTGATAGAAGTCGCCGCGTGCAGAATCTCTTTAATGCAAGCGTCCTTGAATACTAATAGGTGAGGATATGTTATACTTATATACATCTCTTGATTTCATAATAAAATTTTATAGTAATATTAAAAAATCGGCCTCCCGGCCGAGGCATTATTTTTCGCAATAAGTTTTATTACAGTTTTTAAGTTGGGGAATTTGGGGGGATTATTAATTTCAGATTTGATTGCGTTGAAAGTCCGACAACCATATCGGCACGCAATTATCATTTCTGAAAATTAATTCATTTAAATGAATTTACAATAGTTCAACATCTTAACGTTCTGACCGTTATGGCGCTTCTTAATTTAAAATTATTATGTTTAACATTAGCGGTCTTTCAATCTTATTATTGATTAAAAAATTTGTAAAAACCGACTATTATTATTATAGATAAAAAAATTATGCAATTATACATTCTAATTATAAATATTAAAAATCAAAGGTATTGCCTACATCAGCTCTTAAGGGGGGATTTATGGGTCATATCTCGAAATTATCAAAAATATAAAAATTTCATACATTGTGCCATTATTACGTTTAAATATTTGTGTAAAATTTGAACACAATAAGAATTAAATCAAATTTTATATTTATACTGATCAAGTAATAATAAATATTCGTGCAAAAGTTTATTTGGATCCACTTACTCGTTTAAAAGTTATTTATCTAAAATTGCAAAAAATATGGTTATTTTGCTGCATAAAACCATTATAAGCCAAATTATTTGTTTCGTTATTTGAGTTTCAGGGCATATTCACGAGTTAATATCACGGAAATTTTTTTAGTGTGTGTGATATTGGCTAATACATATTAGCTTATTTTGGCTGATTGACTGATATTTTTAACTGATATTGTATTAGCCAAAACATCCATAACTAGATTCATATCTTTTGTCAGAAAATAAGTATTTTGAATAAAAAATTTAGATTCGTATTAAAAAAATATTTAACCGATGAGTAGACAGACTTTATAAAAATCTTGCTATTATATAATAATTATTACGTTGAGAAAAATGTCTGGTTAAAAATAAATGAACCAGAAGTTTCTGATTATATCAATCAGAATTCCGGCTATCTTATAATTAGAATTTAATAGAATTAATCAGGAAATTCTGATTCGTCCATTTTTAACCAGAATTCCAATTAATCCAACCAGAAATTTTTTTTCAATATATAACATTTACTGTAATATTTGATTTTTCAGTAACTGAAACACTTTTGCCACATTATATTAATCATTATAATATATCTTTCAATCGATAGATGTAAAAAGGCTTTCTTTATTCGAATCGTTGAGAGTTCCCTCTCTCGTCAATACCTTCAAGTCGTTCGAAGAAATATCGTTCGTGCTCTTTCGTTTCTGAAATGGCTTAGACGAACGATAAAAAAAATCATAACGCGAGTAATGTCGCGTACATTCTCACAGTAAAATATCGAAAAGTGCGTCTCGGCGAGCTTACCTTGAGGTAGGACGGTGAGCAAGAGGACTATTTGAAGACCGGCGACGATCGTATTATAAAACTTTATTCGCAACTGCGGTAGACCTCTTGCCTGGTGCGCCATGGCAGATGAATTTTGCAGGCCCAGGTCGAGGCGCGACACCGACTTGCCGATGTTCATCTATCCGGTCCCGACGTGCCCCGTCGTGACCGTGATGCACTGCACAATTTTGCGTGTTCACTTTTACACGCAGCGGTCACCGCCGCGAGTATCGCCCGGAAGCGCTTTGTCACCCGCTGCGTCACTGATTATCATCATCGTGCAGGGTGTCACGAGTCGAGTTCAATTCCGCACGAATCGTCCGCTAATCGATACTCGATGCCCTCGCTAACGCACCCCCCGACTTCGCCGTCATAACCAAGCGTTCTTCCGCGCGCCTCGGTTGTGCGTATTTCGCGAGGTCTCGATCGCTGAAAGGTGGCGACGTTTTATTGTTTGCAGAGAGAACGCGCTACGTTCGCGCGACGGTGCTTCCCAACGTTTCGAGCATTCTCACGAGGGATTCTGAAAATAATGATTAAGTACGTGTGAACGACCCCTTCGCACCCACTTCCCATCGTGTGCGGCGTCGTTTCACGGCATACATTTGCGTTATCTTTTGAATTCAGCGAGATCGCTTTCAGTTGTTAATGCGGGCTGAAATACTCGCTGGCGAATCCTAATTACAACTTCTTAATCATGCGTTAGTTAGAAGCTCGAAAGCTTCCTTGGCTAAAGAATCATGCATCAATCAAGATTTTAGATGTATGTCAGATTAAAAATTAGTCAGCTCGTCAAGATATAATTATTCTAGTGATGTAAAATATATCACTTAGATTTTCTAATGTGATACTCAAGCAAAATATATTCGAGAATATAATATAATATACTATCTATAGATCTTATTCCTATTTTAAATACTGTAATTTAATGTTTAATACAACTCGGAATTTTAATAAAACATTAATTCGATATTAAATTTCGAAAAAATGAAAGTTTTTTTTTTTTTTTTTTTTCAAAATTTATATATGGGAATAAAATTTTGATAAAAATATCTGGAGCATGTTTCGTAAATGTAAATTAAAATTATGCACAAAGTTTATGCAATTCAAATACTATTTGCTGCGAGATAGTGAAATGACGCTCATTTGAATGTATTGTCATCTATTGCGATACTTTTTTCCGCTTTATAACAGTTGCGAATGTCGTTATTGGCATCGAAAACTTAGGTGATTTACAAGCGGGGCGGTTGATTTACTATTTCACTATCAGCAAGAAGAGATTTCTTGTATTCCCCTTGGAAAAACGTGCCGCGACTGAAAATGATCGGTTTCTCTAAACCCCGATATCGTAAATTTTTCATTTTCTTGATGAGATCGAAAGAATTATTAACACAATTGAAACATATGCAGACTCATAAATCAATCTTTACGAGCTAGACCAATCTTTTATAATCAAATAATTCATTAATATTATTACGAGAAAATATATAAAAGAACCCAATTATATTCGATGTAACGTATATTCAATTATATTCAATATAATTAAAATATTGTGTGTGTGTGAATTTAAACAAAATCTTCAAAGACAAAAATGTAATACATTATATTATAATTTTATATTATCAAAAAAAGTTGAATACGTCGTCATATCTTGTTGTATACAAAAAATATTTTTATTTAAATAAACAAAGACATGTTTAAAAAATAAAAAGATAGAAATTAATAATCTTGCTATTGTCTTTCGTGCTTTAAAAAAGTATACGACACGCGAGAGCGCATTATAGTTTTTTCTTCTCGCGCATTTATTTTCACATGCAACATCACCGAATTACACTATTAATAAGCATTTTCATATTTCGTCGTAACAGTGCGCGAATTAATTAGCAACCCTTTCCACGCAACCGATCAGCCATTGATCACGAGTCCAGTATTACGATGACCTATTTATCGGAGGGAGTGCATTAAATGGCACGCCATTACCGCGGTTTCTGCCAATCGACACAGGTAGCAATTTTTCCATTGTCTCGCATGCCTTAGAGAAGCAACAATGGCGCGAGTTTTAATCTTACAGGAAATGCGTCTGTGGAGTTTTGACGCTTCGACTAGTTTTGATACGAAAACGTACCCAAGACTATATACGGTATCTTGCACGCGGTATCGATCATTCATCAATTACGCACATGTCGCAGAGGTTTGGCGTGCATTCCGTAAACGTATCGCCGGACTCTCGTCGATACGACACAGCAAATCTTGCCTCGAAATTTGCGAGAGCCCGCGCCCGGTTTACAGGTGTCCGTGGCGACTACGCTTCCTCATTCGATACCGAATGCTGCCGTTCTCCCCCACGCGGCGGCGTTCATCGTTACGAGTACTCTCACCCCGTTCTCAACCGACACTGGGGCTCACTTCGTTATTCGCTGATACCCACCAAGTCGATGGTTCGATCAAAATTTCCGGTTGCGAACGCGAAATAACGTATAGCTACGGACAATACGCTCAATATTTGCACAAACTTGTAAAATGATTTTTTTTTTTATACAATGTAGGATTCGCCAGAAGAGTCCACAGTGAACTATCTTGCTATTTCAAGATTCTCTCTACGTGCAGAAATTATTTTGTCGACACCAATGACTAACGCTCGATGAATCCAAAGACTAACTGTAATACCGCGAACGATACCGCGGTTATTTTTCGCGATTGGCTTCTCGAGTCGCAAGCACGCTGCCGTGAGATTTCCGACCTATGTCTCTCTCTCTCTCTCTCTCTCTCTCTCTCTCTCTCTCTCTCACTCACTCACTCACTCACTCACTCACTCACTCACTCACTCACTCACTCACACACTAACACACACACATACACACTCTCTCTCTCTCTCTCTTTCTCTCTCGGCGAGTCTCGAGAGGGGCGCGGGTGTACTATCGCGACTCCTGGCAGCAGCACGGACCTGCGTTCGCGGCCTGGCCGGCGATCGTCTTCCTCGTCTCACTACAGTCCACCGCACGTTCCATCCTCCCGCGGAACAGCACCACCACCTCCGCCTCCTTCGCTGCCTCCTACTTCACCGGAGCGCAACACGGTGTTGCCTGGTATCTAGGCAACTTCGCGGAGCGTGGCTGCTCCCTCTGCCAGCAGCCCGTTCCACATAGGCAACGAATTCGCCGTTCTCTTCGCCGTTCTTGCTCGCGCGCGGCTTCAGTTTTCTTCTTTTCCTATAATTTCTGCTCTATTCTCGCACTGCCTCTCTTTCTCTCTACCTCTCTTTTTCTCGTCGCACTCGTTTCCTTCAACACGGATCACGCGTACGAGCGAATATGCATTCTCGTTTTCGCTCTTCCTGTCCTGTTGCGGCTATCCCTCCTTTTTCTCCGCACTCCCATCCGCCTCGTCCTCGTCGTTCTGCTTGCGCTACTTGCTTTGATCCTTTATCCGTAATTGCTTTCATCCGGCGAAGTCGTACCTCCTGCGGGTACGATTCTATCTCGCATCATGGGCACCAGGTTCAACACGAACGAGATGCGAACACGAGTAATCCGTAATGATGAATACCGGCGACTGTGACGACGAGCACGAAGATGAAGAGACGTGTAACCTCCCGTATAAGCCGCACGCACAGAGTGTACGCCGCGAAGTTCGGCCGAACGTGGCAACTCGCGCTAGACTGAGACAGCGGTTGGCAAAAGGGAAGACCAGAGAAACAGGAATGGAGAAAAAGAGGTGATGGAAAATAAGACAAAGAGATAAAAAGAGAGAAAGAGAGGGATTGGACACACGGGGGATGGAGAAAACCGCCTCGTCCCTGCGAACGGGTGTCCGAACCGGAAACCGAAACCCCTGAAAAAGGAGGCGGTCGGGGTCGTGTACGAGCTGCCGGTCGAGCTCTCGCGACTCGCAGCCACCGCCGCGATATAGACGCGAGGAGCGCTCCCCACGATGGCCATAACCCTCCTCCGCCACTTCCACCTCCGGAGAATCCACCCTCTCCAACGCCCCTACCTCCCGTGGCCACCTCCAGTTCCCACTACGATTTCGCGGGAGGCTGCGGACTGGACCAGCACGCAACCAGCGTGATCCCCACCACATTGCCAGAGTACCAGGGTAGTAGACTTGGGGGTGCGAAGACGCGGGGAGAGGAAGGTATCGCAGGGCTCGAGGGGGCGCGAGAAGGCGGGTGAGAACGGCGGTCCGGGAGCGGAGGAGAGAGCCGGAGGACAGCATCCCCGAAGCCCACCCCACAGATCAATATTGTGCCCACCACCATGTACCGGAGAACTTGCCTCATCTCTCTCGAATAACCGTAGCGCGCCACATGCCTCATCTCTCTTACCCCTAACCGCCCCCTTGCGAACTCCCGTAGCTCACGGCCGTTGCCGTGTATTGCGCACTCTATCTCTCTCCTCTCTTTCTCTCTCCCCACCTCTCTTCCTCTCCTACCCCTTCTTCACCTATATTCTCGCCTTCCCTCTCAAGGGTAAGCGCGCGCGAGGGTGTACGTTGATTCTATCGCGAACCGTCGCAAACGATGCTGGAGCATGGTCCAAGTCCGCTAAGGGGGATTAGCCTCGGCGGTCGAGATCCCAGGGACGGCATAGTTTCGGTGCACCTATAGGGTGTCGACGCGAAAGATAAGTACAGCGCGGATAGATGTCGGAATTGACAGATGAATCGATTGTTATCGAAGTTGTTGAGAAAACCAGTGTTTAAGACGAGGTCGACCAGATGGTTGATGGATGGACAAAATGTTACTCTATACACATACATATGTATAGAGTATGTATATATATCCATGTTTCGCATGATTGTTTGTCAATTAAAAGTTTTACAAAAGAAAACTAAATGACCTTCTTTGCAATTCTTGAGTATAAAAAGTTGAACGTGCTGTAAAGTTATGATAGGTTTAAAAAGTGTAATTAAGTTGAACGAGTTAAGTTGAATATTCTTTTACGGTTTTTCCTTCTTAATTTAAAAAATTTAGTAAAAATAATCATATTTTATGTAGACAATTTTTTAATATTGATTAAAAGATGTAATCTGCTCTATTATATTTACAACATATATACATGGTGTTCGGTAAGTTTTGACAAAGTGCTTGTGTGTAGATAAAGCGGACTAAACTGAGTCGAAAAGTCCTCTATCAATTGCAAATTTCGCAATTTTTTTTTTAGTTATCGCATTTTTTTAGTTATTGCCTCTATAAAATAACTTTAAGATATCTTTAAAAGTTCACTAAGAAACATCTCTAAGATATTTCATTAAAAACTCTGGAAGAAATTTTAAAGTTGTCTTATGCGACGATTTTACTCCACTTATTCGATAATCTGTAGAAATTAATATCTTGTTCATTATTGCGAAAATGGTAGAGGATTTTTCGGCTCGTTTAATCTGCTCTATCTACACAAGAGCGCTTTGTCAAAATTTACCAGACACCCTGTATATGTACACCCTCTCTCTCTCTCTTTCTATATATATATATAGCTACACTATCCTATAATTATTCATTAAAAACGATAACAGTAACATCAATATTTTAATATATCAATAATTTCTTATTTAACATAATTGCTATACAGAGAATGTGTGATGTTACACATATATCATCAAGTGAGAAATTATTCATGTAATATCATTCCTGATGTTTATAATGTGTGCATATTATAATATAATGTAATATATCTTAGCGTATTATAAATAAATATGTTTTAGAAAATTGAATAATAAATATGCTATTATAAATAATTGGCATAAAATACTGTTTTATTGTTAATTATTTTATTTTATTTAATATATCTTAAATGAGATGTGAGGAATTCTCAATGTAATAAAATGATACAGGTAGTTCTCTTACCAACAGCTGTTTACTAACAAGTTTGCAGACAAATTACACAAGGCGCTTCAGTCAGACGAAACTTGTAATTCGATAAAAATAGAATGCTGTATTTCAATAGTTTTCTTTGAAAAATTTTTATATTATTTGATAGAAGTTGCTTGATAAGAAATAGGTATATACATTTATTTTTGTGATCCCATCCATAAGCAATTTTGTTTAAACTATTGTTGATAATGTAGCTCTTTCTTCAAAAAAACCTTCAAACTACATTATCGAAGTATGAAAATGCAGTGAATCCACATGCTTTACAATCGATAACGGTTATACCGAGCTTTATACTATAAAACTCTCATAATAACATTTCTCTTAAGAGTATTTTAGTCGAAAAAAGAAATTTCTTCAGTGTAGGAGGTTTCGAATGTAACGAGAGAAAGAAAAACATTAACTGAAAATATTCTACCTATACTTATATTTTCTTATAAAAAATATCTTTAATATAATGTAAATAAAAATTTAATATCAACCATATATGATTAGAACCATTCTCGCAATTATTATCTTCAGTATTTCTTTTTTATTTGCGTGATATTGTTTCAATATTATCTATCATTTTTTAGATCATAGCATAGTTTTAATTCAGATTACTTCAGAACTGACTAATTTGATATGAAATAGTTATAATAATCAGAAAAACGATGAATGGCCTAAAGTACAATCAATAAAACTTATTTATTCATCAATGTTACTCACTGATTTTACGTAATAATAGCATGGTCTGAATAAATTACATTAATAATTAATATCTACATAACTATATCTAATAACACTGATTAAAGTTCTCATTATACAATGGAACTGCAATTAACAATTTGTAATCAGCCATAAATAACAAACTTAGATAAGTACATACAATCTAATCATTAGATATACAGTGTTTTCCTAACTATTCTACAATTATAACTAATAATTAAACAATATCCATTATTTTATATGTATTGTCCAAATATGTAAAGTCGAAATATTCTACATGAACTACGACACAACAGTATGATGTACTTAATGGGACATTATCGTTATAAGTGTCCACGATAAAGTCCACGAGCGAGTAACGAGCAGTAAGAAACAGAAGAGGAGGAGGAGGGAGAGATTCAGGGATTCAACGTTTTCCTTCATATATACGAGGTCGTTTACTCATTGTTATAACTTCCTTAGAAGCCATTACAAAGACGCGCGCTTCTCCATTCTAAGATAATTCGGCTGACACAAAGCACACAGCTACCCAAAGTTCACGAAGGGAAGAGAGAGAGCGGGCAATTTGCCATACGCTACATTAAATTTCACAAAAGCGGAAAGCGCTTGCCACGCGAACGTAAACACTAATCAAAACTATGTTTCTAGAGCGTGTTAGGCATCGCATTTGTACTCGTACCATTTAGAGCAACATCGAATACAATTACCTACCTACTCAGTATGCTAATTATCGCAAGACCGCCAGACATGATAATATATCGTCATCTTGCTCGCGCCGTTCCGAGATGGTCAAGGCTGAGATTCTCCTTCTTGTTTCCCAGCGAAACAATGCGCTCATAAATTCGTTCGTTCCGACAAATTAATCACAGAAAAAAATCATTCAGATGCAAATTTTTGCATGCTTTAACCTCTAACTTTATGCTCTTCATTAACATACTCCGAGAAGCAGAAGTGAATTATTGAAACGACTAATTGTCTATCGGCTGAGATACCCATAAATATTGATAGTAAAAAAGAGATTCCGACCTGGCACATCTATTAAAAAATAGTGAAAGCACGTACGAATCTGTTCATTCGTCTCGGTGATTATCGCGCTACGACCAGCAAGTGGGTCTCTTGCGGGATTAGTTCAGAATGGTCAAGGCTACGGCTGAGACGGACGAACGGGCACGAAGAATGAGCGATGTTTTGTAGAAAGCAGGTATACACAAGCAGGAAGGGAAAGGTTGCACCTGGCAACCCCAAGATAGAACCTAAACTCACGCCTCGCAGGCACGTCTCTCTCTCCACACGGTCCGGCCCATCCCACTCTCCACGGTCCATTCCTTACAGCCGGCCGTCCGTCCCTCTTTGAGAACCAGCCTGCTGGCCATGCACTCGCCCAAAATAACAGAAATTGTGGAGAAATCAGCGTTCCCCATGGACCGTCCTTGCGGACCATTGTGGCGCCTCGAGGAGCAACGAAGGTTCCTCGTCGAGATGGAACGTTATTGTGTGTCGCTGAGTTTTCGCTTCTTTGGATCGTTCTCGCATTACCCAAGGGTGGTTTGACTTCTGGGCCCTTTTCAATCTCATTGCACTTTAATGCCGATTGCACGAGGCACCAGGTGTCACGATAGTATCCCCTGACGTATCCCTCGCTTGTTCGCTTGATCGCTCGCTTGCTCGCGCTATCGCTCGTGGACTTTTATTTACGATGCGCGACGAATCCGATGCGGAACGCTCGGTTAAATGCACGCGGGGACAAAGTTCTCTCGTGTGTGCTCGAGGGGGTGAAGCAAAACCGCTAGCGATCGACCCGGGGTTCTCTCTCCCCGAACTTTGGGGTCAAACATTCGACGCTAGAAACGTCTATTTGGGTCACTCGGTTTGCGAACAGATCACTCGGAACTTTTGCGCAGTTGACGTATCCGGGACGGAATGTGTGTGATCTGTGCAAATATGTGTTTTCCAAGCTTTACTTCGAATGAACGAAAATGTTAACGCCTTCTCTTATCTAACCGCGAGTCTACGTATGATTTTGTAGTCGATACCATCTGTTATAATGGAAATAAAACTTCGAAACTCTTTCATGGATGTTCAATATATGTATAAAAAACGGAACATATGGTGTACAAAGTTACTTTTAATTTAAATACACGTATTTCAATCTTGTCTAACAAATAATGTCCTAAGTAAATCAAAACGTATTTTAAGGATAAATTATTTAACGAATAGTCTATATTTTTTTAGCGAAAATGTCAAGAGAGATCATCGTATCGATACTTTCCAATTTGAAAATTTCATTTCTGGGTGAGTAAACTTCAACTAGAATTCCTCTTAAAGTAACATATTTCAGAGAGAAATCAACCGAGGAATAAAAAATTTTTTTTTGTCATTTATTTAAATAATATTTGATTATATAATATTATATTA